AGAGAGAGAGAGAGAGAGAGAGAGAGAGAGAGAGAGAGAGAGAGAAAGAGAAAGAAAGAAAGAAAGAAAGAAAGAAAGAAAGAGAGCAGGAGGAGAGGGAGCTACAGAAGCCAGCCCACATTTTGACCTGCAGGGGCTCAGTCGCTTTCCAGGGGCCTCTTGTGGACCACCCTGGGGTCTGTGTGTGTTTGCACAGCCCTGGGAGAGTTGTGTCCTTGCACACCTTTTATCCCTTCTTCCTTTTCCAAGCACCTGCCTGAAAAAGCTCCTCCGGTTCCACCTTCCGGGCAAGCAGGGCCGGTTTTTCTCTTCCCTCCTGGGGGGGGCAGAGGCTCTGAGCCAGCTCGATCTCTCCTTTTTCATTACGCCTTTCATTTCTTCAGCTTCCTCCTTCTCAGCCCCCCCCTTCTGCGCTCTGCTAACATCCGCAGGCCCTGAAGGGGTCCAGCGGGATGGGGCGGAGGTGATGGGAGATGCTGGTGTGTGTGTGTGTGTGTGTGCATGGGGAGGGAGGTGTTTTGTGAACCTGTGTGTCTGCTGGCCTTCAGTGTCCCACCCACGCATGGGATTTTGCCCCACCCCTGTCCAAGAAAGCCACAGAGCTTTTCCTGGGATTTTTCTGGAGGGGAAGGCGCCAGGCCTGCTCCGAAGGACATGCAGAGCCCCCACCCCACCCCCAGGCTGGCTATGAATGGGGGGCAGGAGCACCCCACGCCTCCTCCCCTCCCGAGAAAAAGCCCTGGGTTTGCCACCAGCCGAAAGAAGGACTATCAAAGGAAGGAGGACCCTCTGGATCGCTCTATTCACACACACCCCCCACTGCCCCCTGGGAATTTGGCACTGAGACATTTAGGAGGCCCTGCAAAGCATCCAGGCCCAAATGGGAACATCCTGCCCCCCCCCCCGTTCAAGCTCTGCGTTCACCCCAGGAACTAACAGAATAACAGAGTTGAAAGGGATCTTGGAGGCCTTCTAGTCCACCCCCCTGGTCAAATAGGAGACCCTAAACCATTTCAGACAAGTGACTGTCCAGTCTCTTCTTAAAAACCTCCAACATCCACTGATTAACTGTTCGGTCAAGAAATTTCTCCTCAGTTCTAGGTGGCTTCTTCCCCAGCTGTGGGCAACAGCCGCACCTGGACTGGCACGAGGGGGCGGTTGTGTGGCACAGAGAGCCCAAAGAGGGCCGGCCAAGAGCCCTGCTGGCTCTGCCCTCCGGCCAGGAAGGAAGCCCCACAGAACTCAGGGGGGAGGGGGGTTGTCCCCAAGAGCCTGAAATAGGGAAAAGAATGACGGAGAAGGGAGGGAGCGGGTGGGAAATGGCCACAGGTTCAGAGGGACTTTGAGGAGGGAGCGAAAGGCAGACCGCGAGGAGGAGGAGGAGGAGGAGGAGGAGGAGGAGGAGGAGGAGGCAGCCCCACAGAGGCCGCAGCTCAGCAGGGAAAGGAAGGGGGGAAAGGACTCAGCGCTCTCGCGTGGGGACCAAGGGGGCACTGGAGGCGAAAGGGCTGACGGAGGGAGAGACCTGGCCGGGTCTGTGGCCCAAGAGCCACGGGGGGGGGGGGGGCAGAGGGGGATCTGAAGGCGCCAGAGATGGTGAGGCTTGCTGGGCAAAAGGGGCCTTCGCTCAACCGGAGCTTGCATGAAATTGGGGGGGGGCGCCAAAGCCCCCCATCCCATCCCCCGACCGAGGGTGATGCATCCACAGTTGCCCCTCCCGGCAAACCCACGAAACACTGGCTGCCCCCCCAAAAGTGAAGATAGGCTTTTGGGGGGCTGGGGGGGCAGGAGACATTTACAAAGCACAAAGTGCACCATGGTGGTGGTGGCTATTTACAAATGCGCAGCAGTCCTTCAAGTTTTTCAAGTTTTGTAGAAAGAAAAGGGGGGCAAGAAAGGGCAGAGCATAGAAAACAAAAACTGGTGGGAGAGGAGGAGGAGGAGGAGGAGGAGGAGGAGGAGGAGGAGGAGCAGGAAAGAGGAGGAAGAACAAAATCAACCAAACACTCCCAGGACCGGGGAGGGCTACACAACACGGGCATCGCTCAACAGACGACAGTTAAGGGGTTCGTACACGGGAGTGGGGGGGGAGGGGCTATGTACAGTGGTCACAGGAGGGCCACGTGGGAGCAGCCGGGTTCAGGGCCATGGCGCAGCTGGAGGCTCACCCCCCCGACACACTCACACGGGCACCGGGAGCGGGAGGGGGGGGGCGGCCCGTCACCAATCAGCGTCTTCCTCTATGTAGTAGTCGGGGGCAGCTCCATCAAAGACGCCGGGGTCCAGGGACTTGCGCTGCTTCCCTCGGGCGAAGACGCGTGAGATGGAGCCGAAGCCCATCTTCTCCTTCTTCTTCTTCCGCTTCTGGTCCTCCAGGTCCTCTAGAGACTGCGGGGGGGGGGGAGGAGAAGAAGCACAGCGGACGCTCGATTCCTGCACCGGCCCCCTCGGCTGCCACCCTGCTGGGCTTCGGCCACCCAGAGCGGTCCTGCAGGGGCGGGCTGGCAACCTGGCTGACGCCCCTCGAACCCCAGTTTTGGTGAGGAGCCCAGAACCTACCTGGACAATTGGGTTGTGCAGATTTTTCTGTACCGGTCCAGGACTATCTCCCTACCAGGAAGAATGGACACCTCAGTTTGCGTTGTGGTATGAAATATGCCACCAATCACACACACACACACACACACACACACACACACAAAACCCCTCCCCGTGGGTGAGGTTGCATGCAGGCCACACGCAGCTACAGGAGAGCAGCTCCCCCCTGCGCCCGCTCGGGTCCCCTGTGCTGGATTCCCCCCCCCCCCGTGGACCCTTTGCTGGGTTTTATGAAAGAGGCAGACCAGGAGGGGCAAGCAGCCCACTGCTCTCTGTGGGACTACAGAGTAGTCCTCGCCATATGACTGGTCACCCACAAAAGAGGTTGTAAAATCTGGTTGGTCGTGCATGATCTGCGTTACAACCAACTTAAGACTGACTGAAATTGGTCGGCTCTGCTACGGTCTTAAGCCGAGGACTGTCTGCACAGCTGGCAGCCCCCCCCCCCGGTCAGTTTTCCTTTGGTCTTAGCTCATCTCTCCTCCCTCAGCTAACAAGACGGAAGCGATGAGGAAGAATCTCTTCTCCTCCAGGGCAAACCGGAGAGAGAGGAGGGAGGAGGCCACGGCCCTCTGCTTGGGAGGGCTGCAAATGTGTTCGGGGTTTGGGCTCCACCGTCCCTGGCACGCCACCTGCATGGGATCCAGAATCCCACCGAGGCTCCCGGGAGACCCAGGAGTGCCCGGACAGGGGAGACGGCGGAGGGTGGTGGTGGTGGTTTCGAACTCAGCCCAGGTTCTGCGCTGTCAGTCGATTGTGCGGCAGAGAGGCTGGCTTTTTCAGCCCCTCTTTCTCCCCAGCTCTTTTGCCTGGAGGACTGCCTAGGCATAACCTGCTCACCGACAGGACCGACTGGGTGGCTTAGCATGCTCCCTAAAACGGACTGAGAAGAGGAACAATCTCAAGCTTCCTCTCCCAGCACAAGCCCGGCTGCAGGGGAGGGAATTCACACAACCGGAGCCTTGACCCCAAGTGGACGAATGCCCCCTGCATGCTTGCTGGAGGCCCTGTCCCCTGCGCTCAGCCTTCTCCTGCTTCGGACGCCTCCCTTTTAGCTCTGTCCCTTTAAAGCAGCCGCCTCCCACCAAATCTCATCTCCCCCCCCCCCCGCACGCCAAGGGCAGAGAAGCAGAGTGAGGAACAGCCAATGACCTGCAGACGCGTCTTACATTGCAGAGGGAATGTGTTCGGTGCCGAGGCGAGTTGATGTCGCTCGGCGTGGACGACCGATCCCCTTCGGCCGCCGAAGCATCGGAGATGATGGAAGGCTGCCGCGAGTGGCACGGGCTGACTCGGACCCCTGAAATGCAAGGGAGACCCGCCTTGCCACTTTCTCCGGCGACCCGGGTGTTTGCCAACCCGGACGGCTTTCGCCCAGCCCTTCCCACGAAAGACGGAAGGAGCCGCTCGTGGGCCTTTTTCGGGACTGGCCCGGGGTGGGGTGGGGGGAGGGGAGAAGGGGCGGCTCTCACCTTGCCGGTCCATCGTGTGCTGCGGGTGGGCGTGGTAGAGCGTCTGCTGGCTCTGCCGGATGGCGGCCGTGAGGGGCAGGTCGGCCTGCATGACCCACTCCTGGTTGCCGTTGAGCACCGTCTCGCCGGGCATGGCCAGCGAGTGCCGCTTGGGGACGTCCTTGGTCAGGGTGGCTAAGGACTGCTTGGCCTGCGGGGGGAGGGGGGTAAAGGGGGGCAGGAGAGCGGTCCTTAGGAGAGAGGAAAGAGCCTGGGGGGAGGGGGGCTGGCAGGGAAGACCCCGAGCGCCCCAGCCTCACCATGGCCAGCTCGGCCTCCAGCTCCTTCATGCGGTTGTCCTTCAGGTCCAGCTGCGAGCGGAGGGCGCCGGCGTGGTCCGTGGCCTCCTTGGCCTGCCGCCTCATCTCCCACTTCTCCCTTTCCAGCAGGTCTTTCTCTTTTGCCAGGGCCTTCACTGCATCCTCACTCTCCTGGGGGGAGGGTGTCCAAAGGGGGGGTGGGCTTTAGAAGATCTGAATGCACCACTCGGAAGGGGTGGCTTGCCCCAAGCTTAGTGCGCTTCTCTGTGGGCCTTGGGGTGCCGCCCTCTGACGCCCAGCCCCCGGCCATCTTCCCATCAGGCAGACCCCCTGAACGAATGCCCTGTTTTTGGCCCCTCCAACTTCCCAGGGACAGGGGCCCGGGATTTTACAGGGAGACCCTGCAGGCCTTGGGATGGCGCCTGCCACGGCCTCCCCTGCTCCCCCTCCATGGGGCAACCCCCCCTTTCCTGCCCCCCCCCGTCTCCTGACCTTCCGGTGCTGCTCGTAGTTGCGTATAAAGTCCCTCAGCTGCTCCTCGCGGCTTTCCAGGGTGCTGTAGAGCTGCTGCATCTGACTGACCAGGTCGCTCTTCTCGCCCTTCAACCGCCTCCGGTCGGCTTTCATGGCTGCCAGAGGGAAAAAACAGAGATTTAGTAATAATAAATCAATAAAAGGGCTCAGCTGCAAGCAAGGAGGACTACCGCTGTGTGACCAAAGTCCCCTGGAGGCCCATCCACGCCTCCCCAAGGCCCTTGCCTGGGAGAGGCGGGCACTGCCCGGCCACAGCAGAGGCCCCGGCCGCCACCCGAGCCCTCCTGGGGCTGTGGGGGCCACGAATGGGCTCACGGCAGATCCAAGAAGATGCTGCCCCCCCCCGGGTAGGTGGGGCCTCCCGGGGGGGCCATGAGACCCCTGCCCTCCCTCTGCAGGGTCTTGAGGGAGCCAGTGGTGGGGGACAGGCCCTTAGCTTCAGCTAAAGGGGGGGGGCTTTTCTGCTTATCTTCCAGAGAGGTCAGATCCATGCAGAAACTGCTTAATGAGGAAGGGCAGCCGGGGGGGGGAGGGGGAGGAGGAGGGTGAGGAGGGTGTGGGACTGAGCCCCCAGCCCCAGGGCCGGGCATCGTGGCAGAGCCCCAGAGGGCCTGGGGCAGAGAAGGGAGGCCGTCCTTTCAAAACACCGCCTGAAAGATGTCCAGCTCCCAAGGGAAGGGAGAACATGGCCATGGTTGCCATGGAAATGGGGGGGGGGCTCTGTGAAAATCCTTCCATTTCATTTTGAGGAAGCCAAGCATCACAAACTCAGGGGGGGGGCGGAGGAAGCAGGGAGGAAACTGGCAGTGGGGGGGCGGAGTAGGTGACCAGCTTGGCCGGCCCCTCAGGGGCACATGCGGGGGAGGGGGCAGCATTTCATGCCCAGGGAGGATGTGCCAGCCTTCACCCACGGCTGGGAGGCCCTTCGCAGGATCTGGGGTGCCAGGGTCTCCGTCTCCAGCCGTGGGGCTCAGCTTTGGGGCGCTGCTGGTGCCCTTGCACCGGGGGTCTCCGGCTGGCCGTCTCGGTTCCTTTTCTTTTCCAGGAGAAAAACGTCTCCCGGATGGATCCCAAAGGAAGGCCGGGAGCAAAACCTCGTTTGCATGCAGGTCCCTGAGTCTGCCAAGCCCCCCCCCCGCCGCTGGCAAGGGATCAGAGGGTGCCTCTGCCAACTCACTGGTCCTTCCGCTCTGCAAAGAACGGGCACCATCCGATGCCAACACCCAGGGGGGGAGCCTGTACAAAACTGGGGGACTGGGGGGGGGGGAGACCTGCATCAGGGAGTTTTCCGCCCCAGCCCCCCAAGAGGAGGGGGAACGGGGTGGCTTCAGCAAGCACCCCCATCTCAAGGGTGAGAAAGGGGAGCCAAATTGCTCCAACCTGGGTCACGGGGGGGGTCCCCCAAAAGGCTGAGAAAAGCTCTCCCCCAGCTAAAACAAAAAAAGCATCTGATGGCATTTCAAATTTCCTTCCAACTCTTGGGGGGGGGGGGAAAGGGAGAATCAGACTTACTTCTGATGAAAACCATCACCCCAAGAACCCCCCCAAATGGGAAAATATGTGGGGGGGGTCTGGGTGGCGGACTTTAACTGCCTTTCTGGATTTAGAGAGAAGCCGCACCTAGGAACGGCCCTGTCAGTTCAATTTATTGGGATCTTTTACTGTTAAAATTAATGGGCCCGCTTTGTGGGGGGAGTTTTCACAATCAATTAATCTAAAACAAATTACTAATTACAAGAATTGAGACTGGGGGGAGGGGGGCTTCTTCTCCAGCACGGCTGCTTCTCCTTTTTCATTCAAGTGCAGGGAGGGGGGAGAAGCCCCCCCCCATGAATGGATTTGGCCCCCAGGGGTGCTCTTACCCTGGAGGGCCTCCTTGGCCCTGGACAGCTCCTGCTCCTTCTGGGCCAGCTGGACCCTGAGCTCCGTGGCGGGGAGGATCTCGGAGGCTTTGCCCCCGTGCGTCTCCTCCAGGTCCTTGGTCAGCAAGTCCTTCATTTGGCGAAGCAAGTGGATCTCCTCCTGCAGCTGGCTGACCTCTTCCCGCAGGAGGACTGGGGGGGGGACAGGGGGGGAGAGAGAGAGAGAATGCAGGCCAGTGGTGAGAGTGGACTCCTCCTCCCCCTCCCTTCCTTTCCTCCCCCCCCTCCGATGGGAAGCACCGAGATTCCCCAAGGCAGACCCCCCCCCAACGGGACAGAGACAGGCTCCATCTGAGCCACCGGGAAAGCACCTTGTTGCGCAGCCCCCCCCCCGCCCCCTCTTTCTTCAAAGGGGCCCCAGAAAGCACATCACGCACAGCTGTGGTTTTCAAACTGGCCACTTTGCGATGAGTGGACTTCAACTCCCAGAATTCCCTAGCCAGCTTGGGGGCTTGCAGAATTCTGGGGGTTGAAGTTCACGCCTCTTAAAGTAGGCAAGGTTGAGAAACACTGGTATACAGGTAGTTTTCGATTTACGACCGATTGCTTAGTGGCTATTTGGAGTTACGACTGACCTGCCTTTGGATTCAAAGTTCCCACACTGACACATCCCTCTCTCTCTCTCTCCCCCCCCTCTCCCTCTCTCAACCCCCCCCCGCCGCAAAGCCGTGACTCCACACCTTGCTCATGAACTGCATCTTGGGGCGAATCGCTTCCTGCCCCCCCCCACCCTTCGCAGGGGAGAAGAGACGCAGGGGCCAAGCGACAGCAACGTCCGGCTGGGGAAAACACGGTGGGGGAGAGGGTGCAGCTCGTCTGTCCCTCCGTCCATCCATGTGGGTGGGGGGAGATGCCCCATAGCTAGAAGGGACTGTGGACTTTGAAGAGTGTGAAATTAAAGGTGGGAGGGGGGGGAGGGGGGGTGGAGAAGCCCAGCACTAAAAATAGATTTTTCCCCCCTTCCTTCTCCTGGGGAAAGGGCTCTTTCTGGCTCAGGGCTGGCAGCGCAGCGGGAAGGCGTGGCTTTGCAGAAAATTCAGCATTTCTGGCACTAACTCTGTAATTATGGGCTGTGGGGCTGTTTTAATTACACACCACCATCATGCTACCAAAAAATAGGCGAGAACGTCTGACACAGATCCACTTCCTTGGGGGCAAGCCCCACTGAACTCAATGGGGCCTCTCTCCAGCTGAGCAGGCAGCTGCTTCCGCAGCCCAGGGGCTTCAAAATGGGTGGGACTCCAACTCCTATCGTCCCCAGCCTGCCTGCAGCGGGGCAGGAGGGCTGTTGGGACATGTTCGTGCTCTTAATCCCTGCTCTCCGATACCCAGCGGTGCCACCCGGGTTGCAAACCAACCGAAGTCTCGCCTCCCCCCCGCCAAACTCTGGAGAATTGGGAGCTGCCCCCTTCCCCCCCCCCCGCCGTGTCACTTCCTGGCACCCAAGAGGAGAATCCAAGTCTTTGGGGGGGGCTCAATCCACCCCCGGGAACAGCCCCATTTTCCGAGTTCCCACGAGAGACACGGAGAAGATCAGCCAGCTGGGTGGGGAGAGGCATTGCTGGGACCCTCTTCTCCACAGCCCCCTTAGAAGCCAGGAGACCCCCGGTCCCCCCCCCCCCCCGCAGGATCCTTCAGTGGAAGCAGTGAGAAAGAAGTGCAGCCCTTGGAATCAGGACTGAGAGATCTGGTTTCCTTTTCATTTTAAGCACTTAGGTTTTTTTCCTCCCCCAAAAAAGAAAGTGACTCTGGATTCCTCCCCCCACCCAATCCAGGGACTTGAATCCGCAAGTGGAATTTCCTTGGACTGAGCAGGACAGGAAGGGCAGTCTGTGTGTGTGTGTGTGGGGGGGTTGTGTGTCTCTCCTGGCTGCTTTCCACCCCCACCAACAGCAGCGCCAAGAAACAATAAACTCCCCCTCGCATTTTTGAGATGCTTCCCTGATGAAGACCACATTATTCCCTTTTGTGCTCTTCCCCCTGATGGGGAACATCTGAGATCTGGGGGGGGGAGCATTGGGGGGGCAGGATTTGGGATGACTTGCTCTCTTTGGCAAGCCAACTCTAGGGGCCCGGAGTGGCTCCGCAAGGCCCCAGGGAAGGGGTCAGCTCCCCAGGGACCCCCTGCTCCAGGCTCTGCCTTTTTTAATGATGCTCTACTGAGACACCCCCCAAAGCCCCCCCCCCCAGCCCAGGCTCTCCCCTGGAAGCCAATCCCTGGGCGAATGCCAGATCATGGGGGGGGGGTGTCTCTCCCACGTTTTCCCACGCTGCCTGGGATGCAGGAGAAGAATTCCCAAGCAGGAGGGCGGCTTCTTCATCCCCCCCATCCCCAGGAAAGGCAGGCAGGCGTGGGGCCGAAGGCGGGATCCGGTGGAGGAATGCTCTCCGAGGGGGTGTCCCATGGCGACTTCCCTTCTCTGCCGTCCAGACAACCTTCCTGCAAGCACTCTGGCGCCTGGGTTCAAGGCTGAGATATCCCAGCAGGCAGCCCACCCACCCACCCACCCCTGCTCTCCACCGGATTCTTTTATGACTCGCGGACTTCAACTCCCAGAATTCCTGAGCCAGCCTGGCTCAGCTTGGAAACCTCTCCCTTTCCCCTCAGCATGGCTGGCTGAGGAATTCTGGGAGTTGAAGTCCACGAGTCATAAAAGAGCCAAGGTTGCCTACCCCTGGCCTAGGCCTAGGCCGCTTTATGACTCATGGACTTCAACCCCCAGAATTCCTCAGCCAGCCTGGCTCAGCTTGGAAACCTCTCCCTTTCCCCTCAGCATGGCTGGCTTGGAGATCGCGTCGCCCCGAGTTCCCCCCGTAAGCCGAGTTTCTGTGGGCCTATGTCGGCTTGTGAGTTGCCACCTCTTCCTTCCTTGAGCTTTGGGTTGCCCCGCCAGACTCACACAGCCCCAGAATCCTCCCGGCCGGGTCTGCTGAAGTCCAGGGATGGTGGCGCTGCCTGTGGTCCCCAGACCCAAATGACCTGCCTTTCTCACAGCTTCTTTTTCCCCTGACTCTGATGGCTTTTCAGCAGCTCCCTTTTCTGCTGAGTTTCACTGAAACGTCAGGACTTTACGGCCATTTCTTTGAAAACAACGTCCTGGCCAAAGTGCAGCCCTGATCTTGGGAGGAACTCTGGAGAGCCAACCGGGGTTCGTGCATGGAGGGAGCAACCCACATCTAACCACGGCCGAGGACGTGATGGGCCATCCTGCCTGAGGAGGCACTTCCTGTAAACCTGTGGGAACCGTGACAGAGGCGATTGTGGGCCTGCCTGGAGACGGTTCAGGGAAGTAGCTGCAGGCAGCTGGCTGGGACGGCCCTCGCTTGGGCACTTCTCCCGGGTGCCCGCCTTCTTTGCCCACATGATCGGCCGCCTCCATGCAAGGCCAACCCTTGCCCCGGCCGGTCTGCTTGGATCGCCCCCCCCCCCCCCCGAAATCTCTCACGAGGGAAGAAAACCCTTCCCTGTCCTGATCAGCAGGACTGAATTCTTAAGTCACCCTAAGACAGCAAATTTAGGTTTTTAAATACATATTTGACACTAGGTTAAGTACACAACACACTGTGCACAATCTTTGGCCAAACAAACGAACTGCCAGACGTGGAAAACTAGAACAGACAAATATGCCTGCACACCCGCTGAACCGGTCACTGGTTGCTGGATTCCGAAGGCAGCCCAGGGGAGAGTAGAATGTGGTTTTCTGAACACATCCGTGCCTCCTGGCTCAGCACACACACACACACACACACACACGGCACCGTGTCCAGGGTCCCCCTGGGCCAAGCAAACTCCTAGCCCCACCTGGAAGACTGAAACAGGCCAGGGCGACGTGGGCGCCAGGGCGCTTATCTGGGTGTGGCGTCCACCGTTTCCAAAGCAAGAGCCACGAAGGCCGGCCAGGTGCAAAGTGCAGGCCGAATAACACAACCTCCCCAAGCAACACCTGGCAAGCAGGTGGGGCCCCTGCACCCAAAGCCCCCACTGAGGGTGGGCAGTTCCGGCAGGCCAGCCAGCCGAAGGGTCCCCCTCCACCTGGCTCCTGACCTGACTCGGCTGGCTTTGGGTGGGTGGGTGGGTGGGGTGCGGCCGGTGGGAGGCCGGCAGAGGGGCAGTGGGCTCCCCGGACAGACTGAGCGCCTCTCCCAAGGGCCAGCCGGCCGGCCACCACAGGACCCAGAGCAGACCTGCAGCCTTCAGACCATCTGCCCCGCCTCCCTCTGACTCATCCCTCTTGAAGGGGGGGGGGAAAGGGGGAGACCAAGATAAGCACTGGGCTCCAAAGGGAGGCCGGCTCCACCTGACCAGTCCTGGCAACAGGTGTCCTCCCAGTTCAGAAAGGAGAGCCCACCCGGGAAAGGTGGGGATGCCCCCCCCCCAGTGACTGAACCCAGGACCGCAAGCCCGTCTCCAATCTCTTCATCTTCTTTTTTTTGGGGGGGGGAGACACTGAGTTCCTTTCTTGTTTTATTTTGCAATGCAGCCAGAAAGTGATTTTTCTCCTGGGCCTCCCCAGGAAGGGCCTGGGCCGTGGACCCTTGCATACAGCCCCCTCCTCACAAAGCCTGTGGGACACCTGAGGGTTCTCCATCCCAGAAGCCGGGGGGGGGATTTTCTCTCTGGGGGGGCAGCAGGAGCAAGGAAACCCACACAGCAACATCCTAAACAATGCAGGGTCCGCCAAAGAGGGTCCAGCCGGGAGAGCCATTTATATCTTGGGGAGACGGATCTAAAAATAATGAGCTTTTTCCAGGAGGGTCTGGACAGGTCCTCGCTTGAGGGGCCCTTCCTATTCCCCCCACGTACAACACTGAGTTTGCTATTCAGCCCAGCAAATTCCAGAAAGGCTTTCTTCCCGCAGTCCCAAAACTTTCTGCAGGGTCCCCACGTCCTCCTCCTCCGGACAAAGTCCAGTCTTTCCCAGTTAAATTATAACTTTTCTGGAGGTGGGGTGCAAGCAGGGGAGGGGCTAGGTGGGGAAAATATTATTGCAGCGTTTTTTAAGACTCAGGGGGGTTTGCAGAAGAGAAAGAAACTCTCCCTCAATGTAGAACAGCCATCTCTCTCTCTCCCCCTCTTTCCCTCTCCCTCTGTGTGTGTGTGTGTGTATGTGTGTGTGTCCACAAAAGAATGA